ATGTGCCTAAAACGAAAGATAGAGTGCACAGTCGGATTTCTGCACAGCGGCTTCAAACGTTGATAGCGTTCTGGTCACAGCTGCAAATGACTTGATTCAAATTGGATCTAGAGCGTCTTGACGTCGCCTACACTAGGCAATTAAGATTGCTCGAGTTCATTAAGTATTGATGACGCAACGTTGGTTTGAACGAACTGTACTATGGCAGCCACTATAGACTTAAAACACAAATTAGGAAGAGTTACGAGTTGGGAATGACTCCCAGCTCCTACAAACCCCAAGAGCCGAGGTAGAGTGATGTGGAACAGTGCCACACTGTCCCCAACCACGAAGGGTCTCGAAACTACCCTCCACAAGGGCCTACACCAAGAGAAATGTTACAGTACACAAAGTAATGTAACTGTTCTCGCTATCTTGAAGTTTACCCTTTAGAAGAGCTTCAAAATCACTTGAATCTTGAAACCAAGGCTCTGGTTCTTCAAGATAAATTCTTCCTTGTTCTTGGAAGTCTGCTGTGCACACCTGCAACACGCCAAACGTTCCACACACGACAAAATAGAAAACCGCACACGACACGCAAACGACGATATGACACGCGACTAGCGATAACTCGCTATTGACTCAACACACACATTCAAAAATTATGCTTCATCATTCACACACTATTGTAAGCATGAAATATATATTATCTCATGCTCTCATACCATTCCATGCACACACGCATGCACGCACACGGACAACAAGCCGAATGCAAACCGTAGGGTTGCACCAACACAGCAGGCGCGTGCGGTCAGCAGGGGCGCATGGGCAGCAGGGGCGCGTGGGCAGTAGGTCGCGCGGGTCAGTTACGGGCCTAGGATCTAGGATCGGTCCTAACCTAGCGTATGATTACATGTCAAAGTTGTGAACAACGGAACAAATGAACTAGGCAAAAGGGGATAGAAATTGGAAACCCTACACTAATGTACCCCATGGTGCATGCCCCATTATAGCCTAGATATCATATTTGTAACTTGACATTGTTGAGTACGACGAGGCGGACTTAGAGACCTTTGCTCTTATGAACTCGTGCGCAATGGGCGTGTAAATGAGCCTCGGGAAATCAGGCAACCAGTTGTTGGTGTATTGCGGGAGGGGTGCCCCATTTAAGAACAGATTGCGCCAGACGACGCTTCGTCGTTGTAGCCGATGCGAGGTGTTAGAGTGTGACAGTGGGTTGGCTGGTTGATGGGGTGGACTCTAAACTAGCCTGAGCGCACCATTTGTGAGCCATTCCTAACTACATGACGACGGTTCTTGCGTGGGCAGGAGTGGGTACGGATCTAGACCTCGCATACAATCTTGTCCCGTGCGAGGCCTATAACTACTAGCTACTATATCATCTGGGGTTGCGGGCTTGTCGGCGACGCCTAGAGCCTTGGTTGGGGGTGCTGTGACAAAGACGTGGTGTGGCTAGACGAACAAGGAAAATTAAATGCAAAAGAGAAAGGTGTGATGGGGAAGGTATTGCCCCGTTGTGGGTTCTAACAGGAAAGTTCGCCAGCAACCTGTTGAAAACATATTTTATATAAACTGTCCTTTGCATTAACTGTAGTGTAGGCTCATACTTTGTTGGTGGTGCACCCCTAGCTCTTGCCTATATGTACTGTTGTTCCTATAGTGCACTCATCCTTCTCGACTTTTCTCTCGACAGTCATGCCTAGCTCCACACCCTACTAAACTACGTATTCTAACATGGTATTAAGAGCAATACTTTCTAGGACCTAATGTTCATGGGCCCACCACCCGGCCCATCGCCCCTAGCCTACGCGCGCCCGGCCCGTCGCCCCGTTCTTTGCCCGTGCCCGGCCCGTACCTAGCCCGCGCCCGGCCCCGTCTCACGCCCGCGCCCGGCCCGTACCTAGCCCGCGCCCGGCCCCGTCTCTCGCCCGCGCCCGGCCCGTACCTAGCCCGCGAACGGCCCGTACCTAGCCCGCGACCGGCCCGTACCTAGCCCGCGCCCGGCCCGTACCTAGCCCGCGCCCGGCCCGTACCTAGCCCGCGCCCGGCCCCGTCTCTCGCCCGCGCCCGGCTCGTACCTAGCCCGCGACCGGCCCGTACCTGTTGCATCATGGAGGGTAAGGGGGTGGCAAGAGGGGGTTCTTCCTGCCCGCGCGCCCTGCAGTCGCACGCGCAGCTCATTCCCCGCCCCCGCCCCCCTTCCCCCCCTCCCCCCCCCCATGGGGAGGGGGGGAGAGGAGAAGTAGGGGGGGGGGGGTGCAGTGGGGTATGGGGGTGGCGAACTCATTCCCCCCCCCCCCCCCCCCCCAACCCCCTCCGCCCCCCCCCCCTGTTCTCCTCCATTCCCCTGCTGTGGGTGCAGCAGTGGGGGGGGGGGGTATGGGGGTGGCGGCCTCTTGAAGGGTAAGGGGGTGGCAGGAATGGATTTGCAGCACCAGCCCCCTCCGCCCCCCCCCCCCCCCCCGCCCCCCCCCCCTTCTCCTCCATCCCTCTGCTGCGGGTGCAGCAAGGGGGGGGGAGGGGAACTGCAGCACCAGCCCCCTCACCCCCCCCCCCCCCCCCTTCTCCTCCATCCCCCTGCTGAGGGTGCAGCAATGGGGGGGGAGGGGATCTGCAGCACCAGCCCCCTCACCCCCCCCCCCCCCCCCCCCCCCTTCTCCTCCATCACTCTGCTGCGGGTGCAGCAGTTGGGGGGAGGGGATCTGCAGCACCAGATGGGGGGAGGGTGTGAGGGTGGCGGGTGTGACCAGCCAGCAGCTGTCCCTCCACCTCTTCTTTCTTCCCCCCCCTGCTGCTCCTATTGCAGTGGGGTAAGGGGGGAGGGTGAGGGGGTGGCAGAAGGGGTGTAGTTCGAGGTGGCGGCTGAAAGAGGGGTGCGGTTTTGGGGGGTGGTGGAACAGGGGGGGGGTGAGGTTTAGGGGGGTGGCTGAAAGAGGGTGTGGACTTGGAGGTTCTTAAGAGGGGCTCGCCGCGCTTGGCTCCCCCCCACCTCCTCTCCTCCCTCTCTCACCCCCCCCCTCTGTAAAAAGGAGGTTCTTCAGAGGGGCTCGCCCCGCTTGGCTCCCCCCCACCTCCTCTCCTCATCTCTCTCTCACTCACCTCCCCCTTTGTAATGAGGGGGTTCGTAAGAGGGGCTCGCCGCGCTTGGCTCCCCCCACCTCCTCTCCTCATCTCTCTCTCTCTCTCTCTCTCTCTCTCTCTCTCTCTCTCTCTCTCTCTCTCTCTCTCTCCTCCTCCTCACATGCCCTCTCCCAATTCTGCTGCGCTCTGCCTTGGGTGTACCCCTTCAGGGGGTGTTGACTGCACTGGTTATTGCTATGAACAGTTTAGGGGGTGTGTTGAAAACATATTTTATATAAACTGTCCTTTGCATTAACTGTAGTGTAGGCTCATACTTTGTTGGTGGTGCACCCCTAGCTCTTGCCTATAGTGCACTAATCCTTCTCGACTTTTCTCTCGACAATCATGCCTAGCTCCACACCCTACTAAACTACGAATTCTAACACAACCAACCCAGGCAAACAACCATGATTCTGCATTGGCGTGTACCAATTTAGTACTTTTGGAAAATAAACACTGAGGACATAGGGTTGTTCTACACTACCCTTACATTGGTAAAAACACTAAACCTTAAACACAAAGGAAACACAACAGATTCTAAAAAAAATCATGGTTCGACTGGATGAAAAAAGAAACCCCACTCCTAAAATTAGGGGAAAATGGTAAAGCACTGATTAAAAGGTACTGCAAACAACCCTGAATAAGATCCTGAGTAAAAGTATGTTTGGCTGTGGACATGTCCCTTAAGAAAGTGTCACAATCACTTTTTCCCCGAGCCGCGTCCATATGGGTCGAAACCTCCTGTCACAAAGAGCGCATGTATTGCGACTTGATTGATGTGCGCGATGATTGCATGCGGTGCGCCATGATTGGCCCCTTCCCTTTAAACGCACAAGTCGAAAATTTCCTAGGGTGGCCATATCGGGCAGTGACAAAGGCGGAACCAAAAATTCTTATATGCACAGGCCGCGGAAGAAATGAAGTGCGGTGACGCCCTACACTGGGGATGGCGCAATCACCAATGCATCACCACAACCATTTGCCCGCGCCCCTTTCTTCTCCATCGGTATAACAACCAAACAAAGGCATGCATTTACGCGTCACAATCTCCTAACCATGGCTGAGCCATGGGCTATCCCATTTCTCCTACAAGTGCTTGTTGCATGGATCACCTACTACTACACAATCTTCCTCGACATAGTCCCAAAGTTTTTTCTTAGGCCTGATAGATGCTGGTATTCTTGACGACGAATTCGCATCCTCAGGCTCAGAGAGGGACGACAACAAGCACAACGGACGTCACCACGGCCAGGTGTGGCGTCGGCGCTTTCAGCTGTGGGTTGACGACCTGGAGCACATGCGGGATGACGATTTTGTAGACTTTTCCAGATTAATCGAGCCATCCTTGAGCACATCAAGGAAGGCATGTACCACTACATGTTACCCACCGTCGAGAGGAACAGAATCACAATGGATGCATCGCTACTAGTCGCCGTGAAGTACCTGGCCAGCGGCATATCGAAGACCTTGTGTTACGAGTTGGTGGACATTTTCCTCACGCATTTCCCGTCGGTCTTCAAGGTGGACTAGGTTCGCTTTCCCAACCCGTGAAGTGCTCGATGGAATGGCATAAGAGTTCCGCGCCATAAAAGGAATACGTGCGGCGATTGGAGCTATTCATGGAACGCATATCCACATGAAGGGCATGGAGGGGCATCGGACAGAGTACTGGACCAGGAAGTCAGCATATGCAGTGCAGCTGCAGCTTACATGTGATGCAAGGGGGGTCATCTGGGATTATGTCATCAGGTAACCTGGTAGTGCGCTCGACCAGCGGATTTTCATGAATAGTGCATTATTGGTAAGGTTACAAAGTGGAAACATCACCCCCTCAAAGACTTCTACCTCACCCCTTGCATGCCCCACGCGAAGACGAACTAATGGCCGACTGGGCTCAATGCTTCAACTACTGCCAGTGCGCAACTCGCATGACTATTGAGCGGTGCATTGGAGCCTTCAAGGGTCGTTGGCGTCTGTTCGCTGGACGCAACGTTTGCAAGCTGTGGCGGGTGCTCGTTGGCGCCCCGTGCTGCGTCATCCTGCCCAACATGTGTGAGAACATGGCCACCGTGAGACGCATAAACATGGCATTGGCCAACTTGCCATGCAACAGAGACCCGTAGTGCAGTAGGGGCGCTATTCCGGAGCACAAGTGGGAACCATGCGTGCCATGCACGCAGGGGGCATTGAGGGAAAGGCGGAAACGGCTAGGGGAGGCACTGGAAACTTCTTACCTCTGTTGTCGTCGCCGCTGACCCATATCTCAACATCGTCCTCATCTGGGTTGACATTGTTGGCTTCTCCACCGTCGCTGCGATGTTCAGTCCCTTCAGGCGCATCGTCACCTGCCGGTGAACGAACATGGGGTGGTGCTCCTCCTGGGCGCGTCAACGGTGGATTGTCATTGAACATATTGCGTGCTGCATGTGGAGGTGTTGTTTCCTGCGCGCGCTCGTATGCAAGTCGCACATCCTGCTGCATCCATTCGCAAACGAGGTTTCAATCTGCGTCATCGTGATAGTCCTTGATTGTGTCTGCGACGAGCATGGCGGCTTGCATGGGAGCTGTCTCACGCACCATGGGGCGCTTAGAGGTCGGGGTGTCCTACGCGGGAGGGGTTATAAAAGGGGGGTGGGGACGGGCTATCATTAGTGGACAGTAGTCAGATGTACAAGTTGTGTTAAAGTTTAGAAGAAAGAAGAGGATTGCACTAGCAAGAATGAGGATACAAATAGCAAACCCTAGAAGGGTTGTACTCGCTATAGAGCACCCCACTACAGGCTAGAGCATAAGATAACATTCTGACACACCCCCATAGCCAAAGTGGGGTGTAATCAGCAGAGTAAGCAAGGGAGTACAAGCTCAGGGTGGATCACAATGTCACCACACATTCTGAGCACAAGTTCAAGAAGCAATAGTTTAAGTTCACAATTATGAGCAAAGCTAGTGGTAGTCACAACGGGCAAGTGAGGAGGAGGAGAGAGAGTGAGAGGAGAGGAGATAGGAGGCGACGGCTGAAGCTGCAGACACACAGGCAACAGGAGGCAGACTGGCACAGCGGCTACCGGACGAAGTCCCCGGAATACAGGAGTAACAGGCCCCGCGGCTAAAGTAGCGGCAGACGAGCAACGGACCCACGGGCGGCTGGCACAGCTGGCTACGACTGGGCTACCGGACGAAGTCCCCGGAATACAGGTGCTGCTGGCGACATGACGGCAACCTCCATTCAGCTTCCCCAAACTATCCCACTCCCCCCTGGCACATACCCGCTGCTACACCGCTAGCTCCACTCCCCCTTCACCCCCCCTTAGTACCACTCCACCGGCTCCAACACGTCCACCCCCCCTCAGCGTTAGCTGCAGCAGTGGGAGACGAAGGAGGAGGAGGAGCAGGCGACGCCACACACCCGCCACCCCCCAACCGCCACCCCCCAACCGCCACCCCCCAAACCCTAAAGACAGGGTAGGGAGGTAGGGGGGGGGGGGGGCAACGCGCGGCCCCCCAGTAGACTCCCCTCCCGTCGCCTGTCGAGGCGACCCTGGGGGGGGCCGCTTGCGGCCCCCCCCAGGGCGCCGCGACGGGCGACGGGAGTTGGGCCGGGGCAGGTCGGGGCCGGGGCAGGTCCGGGACAGGGCAGCAGGGGCCGCGCGACGGGGCAGCAGGGGCCGCGCGCGGCTCCCCTGGGCAGCGCGACGGGGCAGCAGGGCCGCGCGACGGGGCAGCAGGGGCCGCGCGCGGCTCCCCTGGGCAGCGCGACGGGGCAGCAGGGCCGCGCGACGGGGCAGCAGGGGCCGCGCGCGGCTCCCCTGGGCAGCGCGACGGGGCAGCAGGGCCGCGCGACGGGGCAGCAGGGGCCGCGCGCGGCTCCCCTGGGCAGCGCGACGGGGCAGCAGGGCCGCGCGACGGGGCAGCAGGGGCCGCGCGCGGCTCCCCTGGGCAGCGCGACGGGGCAGCAGGGCCGCGCGACGGGGCAGCAGGGGCCGCGCGCGGCTCCCCTGGGCAGCGCGACGGGGCAGCAGGGCCGCGCGACGGGGCAGCAGGGGCCGCGCGCGGCTCCCCTGGGCAGCGCGACGGGGCAGCAGGGGCCGCGCGACGGGGCAGCAGGGGCCGCGCGCGGCTCCCCTGGGCAGCGCGACGGGGCAGCAGGGCCGCGCGACGGGGCAGCAGGGGCCGCGCGCGGCTCCCCTGGGCAGCGCGACGGGGCAGCAGGGCCGCGCGACGGGGCAGCAGGGGCCGCGCGCGGCTCCCCTGGGCAGCGCGACGGGGCAGCAGGGCCGCGCGACGGGGCAGCAGGGGCCGCGCGCGGCTCCCCTGGGCAGCGCGACGGGGCAGCAGGGCCGCGCGACGGGGCAGCAGGGGCCGCGCGCGGCTCCCCTGGGCAGCGCGACGGGGCAGCAGGGCCGCGCGACGGGGCAGCAGGGGCCGCGCGCGGCTCCCCTGGGCAGCGCGACGGGGCAGCAGGGCCGCGCGACGGGGCAGCAGGGGCCGCGCGCGGCTCCCCTGGGCAGCGCGACGGGGCAGCAGGGGCCGCGCGACGGGGCAGCAGGGGCCGCGCGCGGCTCCCCTGGGCAGCGCGACGGGGCAGCAGGGCCGCGCGACGGGGCAGCAGGGGCCGCGCGCGGCTCCCCTGGGCAGCGCGACGGGGCAGCAGGGGCCGCGCGACGGGGCAGCAGGGGCCGCGCGCGGCTCCCCTGGGCAGCGCGACGGGGCAGCAGGGCCGCGCGACGGGGCAGCAGGGGCCGCGCGCGGCTCCCCTGGGCAGCGCGACGGCGCAGCAGGGCCGCGCGACGGGGCAGCAGGGGCCGCGCGCGGCTCCCCTGGGCAGCGCGACGGGGCAGCAGGGCCGCGCGACGGGGCAGCAGGGGCCGCGCGCGGCTCCCCTGGGCAGCGCGACGGGGCAGCAGGGCCGCGCGACGGGGCAGCAGGGGCCGCGCGCGGCTCCCCTGGGCAGCGCGACGGGGCAGCAGGGCCGCGCGACGGGGCAGCAGGGGCCGCGCGCGGCTCCCCTGGGCAGCGCGACGGGGCAGCAGGGCCGCGCGACGGGGCAGCAGGGGCCGCGCGCGGCTCCCCTGGGCAGCGCGACGGGGCAGCAGGGCCGCGCGACGGGGCAGCAGGGGCCGCGCGCGGCTCCCCTGGGCAGCGCGACGGGGCAGCAGGGCCGCGCGACGGGGCAGCAGGGGCCGCGCGCGGCTCCCCTGGGCAGCGCGACGGGGCAGCAGGGCCGCGCGACGGGGCAGCAGGGGCCGCGCGCGGCTCCCCTGGGCAGCGCGACGGGGCAGCAGGGCCGCGCGACGGGGCAGCAGGGGCCGCGCGCGGCTCCCCTGGGCAGCGCGACGGGGCAGCAGGGCCGCGCGACGGGGCAGCAGGGGCCGCGCGCGGCTCCCCTGGGCAGCGCGACGGGGCAGCAGGGGCCGCGCGACGGGGCAGCAGGGGCCGCGCGCGGCTCCCCTGGGCAGCGCGACGGGGCAGCGGGGCCGCGCGACGGGGCAGCAGGGGCCGCGCGCGGCTCCCCTGGGCAGCGCGACGGCGCAGCAGGGCCGCGCGACGGGGCAGCAGGGGCCGCACGCGGCTCCCCTGGGCAGCGCGACGGGGCAGCAGGGCCGCGCGACGGGGCAGCAGGGGCCGCGCGCGGCTCCCCTGGGCAGCGCGACGGGGCAGCAGGGCCGCGCGACGGGGCAGCAGGGGCCGCGCGCGGCTCCCCTGGGCAGCGCGACGGGGCAGCAGGGCCGCGCGACGGGGCAGCAGGGGCCGCGCGCGGCTCCCCTGGGCAGCGCGACGGGGCAGCAGGGCCGCGCGACGGGGCAGCAGGGGCCGCGCGCGGCTCCCCTGGGCAGCGCGACGGGGCAGCAGGGCCGCGCGACGGGGCAGCAGGGGCCGCGCGCGGCTCCCCTGGGCAGCGCGACGGGGCAGCAGGGCCGCGCGACGGGGCAGCAGGGGCCGCGCGCGGCTCCCCTGGGCAGCGCGACGGGGCAGCAGGGCCGCGCGACGGGGCAGCAGGGGCCGCGCGCGGCTCCCCTGGGCAGCGCGACGGGGCAGCAGGGCCGCGCGACGGGGCAGCAGGGGCCGCGCGCGGCTCCCCTGGGCAGCGCGACGGGGCAGCAGGGCCGCGCGACGGGGCAGCAGGGGCCGCGCGCGGCTCCCCTGGGCAGCGCGACGGGGCAGCAGGGCCGCGCGACGGGGCAGCAGGGGCCGCGCGCGGCTCCCCTGGGCAGCGCGACGGGGCAGCAGGGCCGCGCGACGGGGCAGCAGGGGCCGCGCGCGGCTCCCCTGGGCAGCGCGACGGGGCAGCAGGGCCGCGCGACGGGGCAGCAGGGGCCGCGCGCGGCTCCCCTGGGCGGCGCGACGGGTCCCCGTCGCCCGTCGCAGCGCCTCCCGGGGGCGACGCGGCGAGTGACGGGACAGAAACCCGTCGCGCGCCTCGGGGCGCACGGCGGGCAGAAAACCGCCGCGCGCCTCGGGGCGCACGGCGGGCAGAAAACCGCCGCGCGCCTCGGGGCGCACGGCGGGCAGAAAACCGCCGCGCGCCTCGGGGCGCACGGCGGGAAGAAAAACTGCCGCACGCCACGGGGCGTGCGGCACAGAGGGTAGCAGTAGCAGTTGCAGCGGAAGCAACAAGGTGGTGAGCCCACCCACAGGATCGATCCAAGGGGATCGACCTGCTCTGATAGCATGTTAAAGTTTAGAAGAAAGAAGAGGATTGCACTAGCAAGAATGAGGATACAAATAGCAAACCCTAGAAGGGTTGTACTCGCTATAGAGCACCCCACTACAGGCTAGAGCATAAGATAACATTCTGACACAAGTTGTTGTCAATGTTTAACCATTTTTGTACAAGTCATGTAAACAGTGAAGGCGACAAAAGAATATACATCAAACTGAAGAATAAACAAGCACATGTAAACGTAGGCGTTGATGTGCCGGGTTGTACCGAGGTCGGCACCTCTATACCGGCGGGCACGTTGACGCTAGTTGCACCACCGCCATCGATTAAATGCGGGTCCGCGTCGGTAGTTTCCTTGTTGTAGAGCTCCATGTAGGGCCACCACGGTGGTCTGGCCACCGATCCTCCTCCAAACCCGCCATCACCTTTGCGCAGTTGTTTCCAGAGGTGCATCAGATTGCGCCAGTGCTTGTGTATGGCGTTGACACCCCGGATCCAGTCGGGATTCTCCTTTTTAATATGTGCGACCACGCGTGCCCAGTACTGCGCGCCTTGCTTTCCCTTGAGCGGCTGGAACTCATCCTTTTGTGAATCAGCGGGCGGCAACGAAGATGGCGTTCTCGCCTTGCAACCACATGCTCTTCTCTCGCGGGGCGTGCGACCGCCTTTTCGCCGTTCCACGATTTGTGCTTTTCCCTTCCGTGTCGAGGCGCTGGTTGTCTTGCTTGCAGCCCGACGTGCCGGCGGTGTTATGGGCTGGGTCTCTTCCTCGGCGACGTCGTCGTCGTCCCCCTTCTCTTCCTCCGACTCACCGTTGTTATCTTCTTCATCGTCAGTGCCAGCAGCATATCCGCGGTAGTCCGAGTCGGACTTGTTGTCGTCGATGTCAGCAGCATATCCGAGGTGGTCCGAGTAAGACTCGTCGTCGTCGGTGCCAACAGAATATCCGCGGTAGGCCAAGTCAGATTCGTCGTCCTCAACTTCATCTTCTACTACCTGCGAAGTTGTGCCCCTGGAAGGCTCACGTCGCAATTGCGAGGGCCCTGCACGTATCATCTGTGCTTAAGAACCCTCAGATTGTGGCGCATCTGGGTTGCTAAATCCCCCGAGATGTAAGACGTTGGCGATCTGGTCGTTCATCCAGCGTATGTGCGGTATCTCGTTAAGATCCTGGGGGCACTTGTCGCTATTGTCGCGGTCGCTGCACTAACGCTTACGAGCCATGTCGGTCAGACGCTAATTTCCATATGTAGCTAATTCGTGAGAGTCACAACTGCTTCACTAAAGTTGCATTATGCGAGGGTGTAGTAGAACACGGGGACACGAAGGCGAAACAATTGGGAGGTAGAGGGGGAGTGAGCATTGTGCACTGGCGTGAAACAGTCGGCCATGATTTAGCTAGATGCCTTGCTTGCTGTGATGTATTTACGCATGAAATTGCCAAACCCTGCGCGTTGTAATATCGAGCGTGCAATTTTTCACGAAGGGCGGGTCGTCCAAATGCATCCCGTTGTGCCTAACTTTTCGTGCCGCGTGCGATGGTTGGTCCGAGAAGAGGTTGCATGCAACTCGTGGGCGACAGTTGCGTGGTTCATGGCATCCAATGAAAAATACACCACAAGTCGCTTCCACGCGGTCATGGATTCTGACACTTGACAGCATATGTAGTTTGTATGCGCCACAATTGTTTGTAACGCTTTATTAAGGGACATGTCATACGAATGTAACTAAGTACTCTACGATTTGTAACAGCATGACACCAAATGTACAAGTAAAGGATTGCGTGAGTTCCATAATTACATACCGTAAGTGTTAGAAACTAGAACGAGGATGGATGCATTGAACAGGAGCTAGGTACAAGTACTAACCCTAATTGGGTTGTACCCCTTATGGGCTACCCCACTACAGCCTACACAAAGTAAGCAGCATAACATTTTGACACACCCCCATAGGCAAAGTGGGGGAGAACAAGTGGTCACAAGACCAGTCAAGAAAAGCAAAGCAAGCTCAGGGTGGATCACAAAGTCAGCACACATTCCAAGCACAAACAAAGGCCACAAGGCCAGTTCACATGCAGAGTTATATAAAAGAGAACAAACAGTACAGTGATTATACCCTAGCAAGTGTAAGCATGCAGGTATATATATAGATCACAGTACAAGCAAAGTCACGCAGTGAGCAAGTGAGGCAAAGTAGGCACAAGGCCTAAAACAGTAGAGAAGCACTGATGATCACCAGACTGAAGTGCCTTGGTGAATATATCAGCAATGTTGGCCCTAGTGGCCACGTAAGCAAGACGAAGCTGACCACGCTGCTGCAACTCTCGAGCAAGGACGTAACGCAGAGCGATGTCCTTCGTTATGTGCTCCAGTCTGTTCTCCTGACACAAGGCAATCATGGCCGTGTTGTCAACGTATAGTTTTGGAGAAGAACAAGGCCGCTCTCCCAAGTCGGTCAGCAGGTAGGTGAGCCAGCGTAACTCCTGTGCAGCCATGGCCCCTGCGTAGATCTCAGCCTCACAACTGGAACTGAGAACAGAAGACGAGCGGGTAGACCGCCAAGAAACAGAGCCCGAGCAAAGGCTCAAAGTCTAACCGTGTGACGACCGCTGCGTAGCCAAGTCGTTAACCCAAGAAGCGTCTGCGTTTCCAGTGAGGACAACTCGACCCCGTCCTCCAAGCACGAGCCCCATGCCCAACGTACTGCACAAGTAGCGCAACACCCTCTCAGCGGCCTCCAAGTGCTCTGGTCGGTGTCTCCCGCGTGCAACGTAGCGTGCTAGGATGCTAAGAGGGTAGGCAAGGTCAGGTCAAGTGCAGGTCATCAGGTACATGAGGCAGCCCACAAGCTCTGGATACGGGCCACTCGGCTCTACGGACTCGTCCGAAGGTGGAGCTGAGAGCGACTGACCAATAAACAGAGGAGTGGACTGTGGCGAGGAGTATCGAAAGCCGAAGCGCTGAAGGACCTGGTGCACCATGTGCGACTGAGTCAATGTGATGGTGCGGCGTGCTCTGTCCCGGGTGATCTGCCAGCCAAGATAGCTACGCAACTCACCCAGGTCAGTGCAGGTGTGTCTCTTCTGCAGCTCCGACTTCACAAGGGTCAGTGCCTCAGTGTCAGCAGTGGCAAAGACGAGGTCGTCGACGTACACGAGGACGTAGAACGGCAGCAGCAAAGTGTCGGTGCGTAGAAACAGCGACGGGTCAGCAGTAGAAGGAGCAAACCTAAGAGCCGCAAGCATCGTCCTCAGTGTGTCATGCCACTTGCGAGGCGCCTAGCGGAGACCGTAGACTGGCCGCCGGAGGCTCCACTGGGTACCTGCAGGAAACGACCCAGTGAAGCCAGATGGGCGGCGCAGCCAGATCTCCTCGTGCAGGCTGCCCTGTAAGAAAGCTGTGCTGAAGTCAAGAGAGTTAAGCTCGTAGTCACGCTGAGCGGCGACGTGCAGCATTACCCGAAGAGTAGTCATCTTTGGGGTAGGGGAGAAAGTCTGGAAGAAGTCAACTCCCTGTCGCTGACTGAAGCCTCGTGCAACGTAACGAGCCTTGAAGGCAGGCGGAGAACCCGGCGGTCGCGTCACCCTGAAAATCCACATGCCATCGACTATGTTCGCCCCAAGAGGGAGAACTGCGACGACGTAAGTGCCTGTGGACTTCCAGGATGCCATCTCTGCGTCCATGGCTGTCTACCACTGAGAGAAGTAGGGACCCATAATCGCCTCTGCGAAAGAGCGCGGGGTTGGGATGTCTGGTGCATCCGCGTCTCCCTCAGGTGCAATCAGCATGGACACGAGATGAGGTAGAGCAGCTGCAAATCGCTCATATTCCTCCTGCTTGTCCTCAAGGACGTCCGTGCTAAGAGCACACTCACCCCCGACGGACGGAGGACAGTCAGACTCAGACTCAGCAACAAGACTAGCGGCAAAGTCGAGACGACAGGCGGCAGCGAAGTCAACAAGCTCAGCAACTAGGGCAGACGCAGCAGCAGACTCAAACGAAGGGTCAGTGACAACAGTGGCTAGAAGACGAGGGACAGTAGGACTGGCAGCACAAACTAAGTCAGACTCAGGGTCCGGACCGTCAGCAATAGAGGACGTAGGAGGAGACGGCAGGGGGACACGCTGAGGAACAGAGGAAGGACGAAGTGCCATATGGTGCGTGCCAGGGACAGGAGGAGGACGCTGACAAGGAACACGACTACCAGTGCGAACAGCGCGAACAGGCAAGGCAGGACGAGACACAGGTTAATGACGCTCTGTAAGACCTCCGGAATACACAGTGTAAAGAGAAGGAGCAGGCAGTCGGGAGGCTGGCTGTAACGGCAGCTGCGACTGGTCAGGCGGTGGACACAGTAAGGGAGGAGTAAGGCCAGTAGAAGACGGGAGACCAAGAACCTGCTGAAGCAGGGGAACGAAGTACGGTCGCGGCCGTCCAGTGTCTCCAGAACCAGCACCATTAGCACCAGCACCCCCAAGGCCAGCGCCTCAAGCTTCGGTGTCTCCACCTCCAGGGTCCTCAGCTCCAACGCCTGCAGCACCACCAGCTCCAGCTGCTCCAGTACCTCCAGTAAGAGCACCTCTAGGACCAGCGGCTCCAGTGTCTTCAGCACCTCCAGCGCCAGTACCTCCAGTAGCTCCAGCTCCAGTGCCTCCAACTCTAACTCCTGCAGCACCACAAGCTCCAGCAGCTCCAGTACCTCTAGTACGAGCATCTCAGGGACCAGCGGCTCCAGGACCTCCAGCAACTCCAGCTCCAGCAGCTCCAGCACCTCCAGCGGTAGACCCCTTGGCTCCGGCAGTGCCACTCCAAAGGCGGGTGCCCCGAGCAAACCACTCGCGCAGCTACGGTGGAGTGAGAGGCTCCCGCCGCGACAAGGCACCCGGAGGACCTCCAGGAGACAAAGTACCCCCAGGCTTAGTACGCTCAGGCGCACCACCCCCAGGCTCAGCACCCCCAGGCTCCGCACGCTCAGGCTCAACACCCCCAAGCTCAGCACCCCCAGGCTCCGCACGCTCAAGCTCAGCACCCCTAGGCTCTGCACCTTCAGACTCAGCAACCCCAGGCACCCTCCGGCTTCGCACCCCCAGACTCAGCACCCCTAGTAGCACCACCCCCAGCAGCACCAGAGACGACAGCTACCTCGACAGGCTCAACATGGTCTACCTGAGACACACCTAAGGGAGCAAGACCCTGAGGGGGGAGGGGGTCTTCCGGAGGGGGACCTGGAGCAAGGAAGAGTGGCGGGGGTGAGGGAGGGGCAGAGCGGTAGGGGAAGAGACAATAAAAGGGAACCGACTTGTCAAACGTGACGTCCTGAGAGGGGAGGACACGGCGCGAGGTGGGGTGGTAAAACTGCCAGCCATGCGTGTCAGGGGGGAAGCCAAGGAAGACGCAGGGAATAGCGCGGGCGGAGAGCTTGTCCGCGGATGTATCACGAACAAAGGCACAAGAACCCTAGACCCAGAACACCGACGCATCGCCAACCTTCCCCGTCCGATGCAGTGTAGGCGAGGTCT